TTTTATATAACAATTGTAAAGTATTATAGAACTAATTTAAAGAAATGAGTCAGTTACATTTTTGTTGATATCCAACATAAATTCTTTCTTTTAAAAATCACGTAGAATTTGTGTTTGACTTTATATCGATCTTATGATGCAATATTAATTTCAGTCTTTCATAATATATATATATATAATTCTTATATCGATTCTTTTAATAACTTGGAAATTAAACGAGATTCTAACATTATTTCTTTTTTCTAATTTTGTGTTAAGAACATACTTGGAATAATAAATTTTATATGTGCTCTGATATACTAATATTTTATGTACGTGCATTTACATATTACTAATGATACAAAATATAATTAGAATATTTCTTTTTTATTTGAAATAACTTTTATAAAATCTGCAATGTTTAATTTATATCATAATCATTTGATTAAAACGTTATTTTTCTAAATTATACTATAAAAAGGATCGATATATCGGATTTTATTTTCTCTTCGGGGGTATTTTTGTATAATGTTGATTCATTGCAATTTATTACTATATATAATTCATAGTCGGTATTATAGTTAAAGCATTTATACTTTTTTTCTGGTATACCTAGTGTGCAAGAAGAATAGGATTATAATTGATTTTTTTAATTTTGACAAAGGTATGAGAGAAGATATTGTAAAATGTATGTGAAAAATTCCACTTTATTTTCCTATTCTATTATGGGTGTAAACAGCAGTTGCACTCGTAATTCGATAATAGCTTATATATTTGAATTAAAATTTACTTCTCTCTCTCTCTCTCTCTCTCTCTTTCTCTCTCTCTCTCTCTCTCTTTCTCTCTCTCTCTCTCTCTCCCTCTCTCTCTCTTTCTCTCTCTCTCTTTGGTAGTGTAATCAAATAGTTAAACTATTACAAGACAGATATTTATATATACAAATATATATCTATACATATTTGTATAAAATCAAGTAAATATTATTTTTAAAAATGTGTACGCCGTTACACAATCTGCTGGTAATGTAATAATAATAAAAAAAAATATATATATATATATGATCTCAAAACAAAACTATTTAAGTTAAAAGAATGATACTATTTGATTGCATTACCATTGGTTCAACATTTATTCTCACACATCTTATTTAATTTATTGTATTAATGAAACATTGATTCGAACCTTATATATATCATTTGGAATATTGCATTTTATGTTTATAGAATATTAATTTAACAAAAAAAAGGCCATGAGTAATACATTATTCATTTATTTTATTGATTATTAATATATCCCAAGATCACAGAATAATATATCTCATTAACTAAAAAAAAAAGAAATATACAATACATAAACGGAGAATGTACTCATAGTAAGAAGAATAAGTTGAAATTTTTTGCGTTAAATATTTTTTCTTTGGCAAAGAAAATTTTGTAAATTAATCTTGAAAAATAAAAAGACAAATGATTAATATAAATATTAAGTGTAAAAAATTTCTACAATCTCTAATATATGTACATTTTATTTTTTCTTAATATATAATCACAGAAAAATTAGAAGAAAAACAAATCTCTAAGATTATCAAAGACGTGTGCCTTTTTCCATTTGATATTGTATATTTCGCACATTTGACTGGACGAAATTTGGTATTGTTAATCATTTCGATTTTTGAAAGAGAAACTGAATGATTAATAACTTGATAATAGAATATGATAATTCTGCAGTTAAAATAGCATTATTATTATTATTATTATTATTATTATCTTTATTATTATTA